GCTATGTCAATGTTTTTCCAACACTGAGCCCATGAAGATAAGCAAAGGAAGAGAGAGAAGTAGAAGGAGGGAGGAAAAAGTCTTTGAGATATTTTCACTGTCTTTACTTAAACGAGTATTAACTGATTTCAAAACCAATATCAGTATTACAGTAAATGAGTTTTGACATGTGCACGATTATGGTTATATTTTCAGTGAAAATGGCCTCGCCTGGGGCTGAGAGTCTCCTGAGATCCTAACCACTTCAGCTATTCTCACTACTATACTTGTTCTTTAATGAGTGAATTCATCTGATAGGTAGATTGGACGCAACTTAACTCTCCATTAAAAATTGGGTTTATGTTTTACAATCCTAACAATTTCTGAATAAGGAAATAACGTAATATACTCTAAAGAATAGCGAAAGCATAACCTCCAAACACCAGGTTGCTTCACTAGCATGGTCCTTGCTCTTTTGTAATTCCAGGCTTCCAGCATAGTACTTGGCACACACAGTTTGCTGTTCAATGAGCTACTTTTAAATTACAATGAAGTCATACAAACATGAGTGAAATTAAGAGATTAAGTATGTCTTTGTGCATATATACTTTAACAATCTCATCTGACTTGGCAGAAAACTGTACTTTGCCAAGAATTTCATTATTTAATTAATTAGCATTGCTGCTAATTTACACCATGTGCTTAACCAAGTGATTTACCCCTCTTTTTTAATATTTGTTTAATAACTCTCTGTTTTATTTATGAAAAAGGACTGTCTTTTCTGACTTTATACATGTCTGAATATATTCTTTGTACTTGCCAACCTAGACAGGGATACTTAATCAGAACTTTGGATGATGTTACAAAGTCATTGAAAGCCGTTGTTCCTGCATATTAAAGTGCTAAAACAATAACTACTCAGAATTCTGTAAAATTTTAGTAAAACATCTATTTACATCATCTTGCATGTCTGGACCATACTTAAAAGAAACAGTGTCTTACGCACTGAGGATGCTATTGTGTTGTTAAAAGTTAATTCTAGATTTGACCCTAATTCTGATTTTAGTCTTTTTTTTTCCTTTTCAATCTCTGTGCTTACAGAAAGCTACTGAATAGACAATTAAATGATCTACCGCTACTCATATACATGGATATATGTATTTTATACAAAATGCTTTCAAATGTCTTCTATCATTTAACCTAATCAATGAACCAGTGAGTTTAGAAATACTACTGATTGTATTTTTCAGATAATGTAACCAAGTAGAGGACCAGGTAATAAAAGGCATAAATTAGTTAATATATACACAGGGTCATTGCTTAAGAGAAATGCAGCTAAAAGAAATTATACATGTATAAATTTTGAAGTAGACTAGTAGTTCTATCAGTGAATGGTATCAACATTATCTAATTAGCCACTAGATTGGTTATATGTTTATATGTTGTTTCATTAGCACATATCAGTACTCAAGAATTCCAAATATTAGTCTAAGCACGGTACATATAATTCTTTCAATCCTTCTAGTAAGTTTTGAGATGGGTGTTATTCTTTTCTCCATTTTACAGATTAGGAAGCTGGGGCACAGTGAAGTTAAAGCCAAGGTCCACACAGCTCATGTGTGAAGCACCTAGGATTCACTCCCAGAATTCTAGATTTTAAGCTTCTTTTTTTTTGAGATGGAGTCTCACCCTGTCGCCCAGGCTGGAGTGCAATGGCGCAGTCTCGGCTAACTGCAACCTCTGCCTCTAGGGCTCAAGTGATTCTCCTGCTTCAACCTCCCAAGTAGCTGAGATTACAGGCAGGCACCACTCTGCCCAGCTAATTTGTTGTATCTTTAGTAGACGTGGGGTTTTACGACATTGGCTGGGCTGATCTCAAACCCCTGACCTTGTGATCTGCCGGCCTCAACCTCCCAAAGTGCTTGAGCCACCGCACCTGGCCTGGATTTTAAGCTTCTAAAGAGTGGACTATTTTCAACAATGGTGTATCTTGCCATAACTAACATAGTACATTGTATTTAGATCAGGGGTCCCCAAACTATGGCCCGTGGCATCCGGCCCCCTGAGGCCATTTATCCGGCCCCTACCGCACTTCAGGAAGGGGCATCTCTTTCATTGGTGGTCAGTGAGAGGAGCACTGGATGGATCCGCATTCTGTGCTCCTGGAGCACTGTATGTGGCAGCGCTGCAAAGCGCGGTGTCGCTCACGTACAGTACTACTTCTGGTGACGCAGGATGCATGCGTCACGGCTCTGAAAGCACATCATATGACGCACATCCGGTCTGCGGCTGTGCTGCCCCACATCACTGGAAGCAGTGTGAGATAACAGCAGAAGTAGGAAGAAAGGCAAAGCACTATAACCATTACTACACAGTACAATGGTCCCCCTACTCCCCCAAATGTACAACAACATAATGGCCCCTATAACACCCCTTTGCCCAAAAGTCTCCCCCCACATTACTACACACCGTGTTTCCCCTATTATAAGACCCTGTCTTACATTAATTTTACCCCCCAAAGATGGGGGCTGTCTTATTTTTAGGAGGTGTCTTATAATAGGGGAAACATGCAGCAGTGGGCTTCCCACAGAAGAAGCCCACCACTGCTGCAGATGTCCAGGACGCTGTATACACAGTGTCACAGGCTGATCACTGCCATCCCTGTATACAGCACTGGAGGCGGTGCTGGGCCTGTGACACTGGATACCGCTGCCTGGGATAGTGGAGGCAGCAGCGCTGGCTGTGAAGGTGTCACACCTTGCATAGTCCGGCCCTCCAACGGTCTGAGGGACGGTGAACTGGCCCCCTGTGTAAAAAGTTTGGGGACCCCTGATTTAGAGGCATTTATTAATTATTTACTGAATAGAATTATGGCAGCAGAGGAACATTTTTTGTCAGAATAGTGAGCCTTTCTTTGTGAGCCACACCATGAGACCAGTGCCTCCAAAGTAAACCAAAGCCACTGCCTCTAATTGATGTTTTCTGGGGCAATCAGAGCTTTAGTGAACTAAACACACTGAAGATGTCATCACACCTTGCTCCGCATCTTAGAAGCTGGGTAATCTTGAGTAAGTCAACAAGCTCTCCGAAGCCCATTTTCTTTATCAGTAAAATAGGGATATTAAATAGCCTGAGACAGAAGTTGTGAGGATTCAGGATAATATAATAAAGCACTGCAGAAAGTAACATATAGTAATGACATGATTAATAATGACACCTGCAAATTTTTTATGGTGATTATTCTCATTAGCTCCAAAGCACACCTCTAACTGCTGGAACAAATGAAACCACAGCCTAGGTCTCCAGATTTCTAATCTAGCCTATTCAGACACTTATTGTCATTATTCTCCTCTATGGTAACTGGAGCAAATTGAATAACTTCTGCATTCATCTAGTAGTACCATCGTATTTTCAATGCATACCGTTTTTAAGTTCTTTTAGGCTCGGTTGTGAAAATAATTTTATAATGTTGCAGAAGAACAAAGCAATTTGGTTTTCCTGATTAAAGAACTCTACTGACACAACATCAGGATTAAATTCACTCTGGACAGCAGATGTTATTATATCAAAACCACAAAATGTTATCAGGGCGGTTCCCTCAGAAGACACTTACTGGCAAAAACTTCTGGCATTTACTATGGAAAAAATTTACATTTTTCTCTTATAAGAGTTTATGGTAGAAAACACAAAGAAAAAAAGAGTAAAATAAAAGTCTCCAGAAATGCCATCACTGAGAAAATCATAAGCCTGGGGTGGGTTTGGGGTGGGCAGAGAACTAATGGAATTATATCATCAATTATATGCAATATTTATCATTTGTGTTCTGGTTCTACAATATATACTTTTCATGCCATTAAATATTCTGTACAACATCTTAAAAAGCTGTGTAGAATTCTATTGTATAGATATACAATAATGTAATTAACTGAACATATGGTTGTTTACAGTTTTTTTTACTATTTAAGCAACCCTACTTGACTATTTCTGTGTGCAGATACTAGTTAAAATCTTAGCATAAATTCTGAAAGTAGAATCACTTGAACAAATATTTTTAATGCTTGCCAAAGTGCTTCTGGCAGCGAATTAACCTTGCAACAATAAATATTATTTCTAAAAATAATCTTAGTCCATTTGTTGCTTTTCTTTAAATGGTATCTTGCCAGGTTTTCAAAACTCTGTATTTCTTTGGTTACCAGTGATATTCAAATTTTAAAATATATTTATCTTTCATTTTATCTTCTTTTGTAAAATGCCTATTTATATACTTCATTTTTTTTTTTTTTTAAGAGACAGGGTTTTACCGTGTTGGCCAGGCTGGTCTCAAACTCCTGACCTCATCCACCCACCTTGACCTCCCAAAGTGCTAGGATTACAGGCATGAGTCACTGCACCCAGCTACTTCATTATTTTTATATTGGGCATTTTCCATTATTCATTTCTGTGGACTTGTTATGTGGTACTCCTTTGTTATACATGTAGCAATATTTTTATCAGTCTTTTCTCTTTTTATTTTTTATTTATTTATTTTTATTTGTTTTGGGTTTTTTTTTTTTTTTTGGAGACAGAGTCTTGCTCTATCACCTAGACTGGTGTGCAGTGGTGCAGTCTTGGCTTATTGCAACCTCCACCTCCCAGGTTCAAACAGTTCTTGTGCCTCAGCCTCCTGGGTAGTTGAGATTACGGGTGCATACTACCACACCTGGCTAATGTTTTATATTTTAGTAAACACAGGGTTTAACCATGTTGCTCAGGCTGGTCTCGAACTCCTGAGCTCAGATGATCCACCTTGCCTCAGCCTCCCAAAGTGCTAGGATTACAGGAGTGAGCTACTATGCCCAGTCTGATTTTTAACTTTCCATGTCTTAGCAGAAAACAACTCTCAAGGTTTTATGTTTTATGTAAGTTAATCTGCTACCTTTGGCACCAAACTTAGAAATTCTCACTCTACCTAAATATTGTAAAAAATATTAGTATTTATTCTCTGGTACTTAAAGGTTTTAGTTTTGTTTTAGTTTTTGTTTTTTTTAATGGAACACTTCACGAATTTGCGTGTCATCCTTGCATGGGGGACCATGCTAATCTTCTCTGTATCATTCCAGTTTTAGTATATGTGCAGCCGAAGCAAGCACAAGGTTTTAGTTTTAACATTTGAGAACGTGATATCGCTGGAATCTGTTTTGGGGCCTTGTTTGAGTTAGAGAGACACCTGTATAGGATGTATATATAATATATTTTATATTTTGCCCCTCAAATGATTAGCCATTTATCAAAACACCATTTGTCGAATAACTCTCCTTTCGCCATTGATTAGAAATGCCGTTTTGTGCACATACCTATTCCTTCTTTTTAGTTGTGTCTGTTTATGGGCCTTTTGTGCTATTGCTCTGCTCATTCTTGTACCAGTTTCACAGTGTTTAAATTATGATGGCTTTATGTTCCTTTCTAAAAATTCAGAGAACAAATGTCTCCCATTGCTTTTCATTTTCTTAGCAAGTTTCACTCAGTTTTTCTTCCAAGTAAATTTAACAGTCATTTTGACATATACTTTTACAGCTAAAATCCACTATTTGTCCATTAGTGACCTAAATAGAGATTGTTCTTCCACAAGATGCTTAAAATTGCAATCATTGTGACTGGTAGAAGGAAACAAGTTTGTAAATTACAGAACATGATACTTGAGCTAGCCAGGGAATGTTTTCTTCATTTCTTTAATTCTAGGATAGAGTCATTAAGACGAAAAGGGACTTGAAAACAAGGCATTGGATTCATTCCTTGTTAGTCATAAAGTTTCGTTAATTTTCCCCCACAATACTTCTGAAAGTGTGACCCATGAATTCCGTCCCCAAATCATGCTGTATTTAAAATAGTGCAGTTTGTGAATCAAGAATAATTTTTTTAACTCAAAAATCATGAAAGGGACATACAAGTTATGTCGAGATAACATTTAAGGTGCTGCTAATGTTCCCTCCCTGACAGAAAGGCCATTCTTTTCAGAACTTGGCATTCTCTTTTTCACAGTGAACTGAGATTAGACTGTCCCTCGGTATATACTGCTTTTATTGTTGAGGGGTGTGTGTGTGTGTGTGTGTGTGTGTGTGTGTGTGTGTTTGGTGTTATATGTATCCAATCTCTTGAGGGCAAATTGCAAACACCCTACCAGCCTAGCGTCCACCCAGAGACACTAAATCATCAACATATGTGCTTAAACGGTCATTTCCAATCCTATGATTCTATGTTTTGGCTTTGTTTCCTCCAAGATTATGCTACCTCCTTTTTTTTGGAGATGGAGTCTCCTTCCGTCACCCAGGCTGGAGGGCAGTGGCATGATCTTGACTCACTGCAAGTTCTGCCTCCCAAGTTCAAGCAATTCTCCTGCCTCATCCTCCCAAGTAGCTGGGATTACACGTGTGCACCACCATGCCTGGCTAATTTTTGTATTTTTAGTAGTGACGGAGTTTTACCATATTGGCCAGGCTGCTCTTGAACCCCTGACCTCAAGTGATCTGCCTGCCTTGGCCTCCCAAAGTGCTAGGATTACAGGCATGAGCCACCATGTTCAGCCTATGCTACCTATTTAACTGCAGTCATAATTTCATTGTAGTCTGGCATTGGTCTTTAATTATTGCAACACTTGTTCAATTTAAAATATCAAAACTTGTATAATTAATCAACACTGATTGAATCATGTTGGAATAGGTCATCTAGTAATCTTTACTGTGGAGATTTTTTTTTAAAAAGACTTCTGGGGGAAAATTTGTGGAATAAAGCAGGATCACAGAATCTCCCTTCCAAACCACAAAACTAGGCAGCTTGGATAAATCTGGATTATAAAATTAGATTAAGTGGTGAATAGGAGAGAAAAAAGGATTGAATGGGGCACAGAGTGGCATTGTACAGCTTCTAATTCTTCCCAGACATAAATAGAGAGGAGTAAAAAAGATGAGCTAAAATTTCTGTAGCATGTGCTAAGTAAGGGTGTCTCTTTTTTTTTTTTTTTTTTTTTTTTTTTTGAGACAAAGTCTTGCTCTGTCGCCCAGGCATGAGGGCAGTGCTGCAATATCAGCTCTCTGCAACCTCTGCCTCGGCCTCCTGAGTAGCTGGAATTACAGGCACCCACCACCATGCCTGGCTAATTTTATATTTTGGCCAGGCTGGTCTCAAACTCCCGACCTCAGGTGATCCACTCACCTTGGCCTCCCAAAGTGTTGGGATTACAGACATGAGTCACCACGCCTGGGCAACGATGACTCTTGATAGTGGTGGGAAAAGTCCTGAAAAATTCCTCAAGGGTAGCAGCTCCTAAAATTAACTTAGAACCTAGGTTGAGGCAAAAGTCGAGGACTCGCCATCTCGCAGAGTGCCAGGCTGTCTCACGGTGTAAGCCCATGGATGGGATCTACCTCTGGCTGACTGAGGGAGGCCACAACACAGGACATCCCCAAAGGACTCTGAAGAAGAAGATTTCTCAGCCAAGACTGCACCACCCCAGATTAAGCTCACTCTTTTTTTCTTCCTTCATCTCCTTGTCATTACAGCACAGAAACGTGGATTGAAAGAGTGAAACAATCCTCAAACATTAGCTCATATGGGAAAGAACAAATATGTCTCAGAGGTAAGTTAAAATAGAGTTACGGAGAACATGCCACACTATATTATAGAGGGCAGAATGTTTGAACTAAGCTCTATTTCAATTTCCAGTTAAATTCAACATAAACAAGGGCAAAAGACTAAATTTACCATTTTAACCTTTTTTGGTTTTGTTTTTGAGACCGAGTCTTGCTCTGTTGAAAGGCTGGAGTACAGTGGCACAATCTTGACTCACTGCAACCTCCACCTCCACCTCCTGGGTTCAAGCGGTTCTCCTGCCTCAGCCTCCCAAGTAGCTGGGACTACAGGTGCAGGCCACCATGGCTGGCTAATTTTTGTATTTTTAGTAGAGACGGGGTTTCACCTTGTTGGCCAGGATGATCTCAATTAAGTGTACAGTTCTGTGGCATTAAGTACATTCATTTTGTGCAGCTGTGGTCATTCTCCATCTCAGAATTTTTTTTTTTTTGGCCACCATTTTTAAGAACACAACTTTGACCATCTCAGAAATTTTCATCAGTTTCCCAAAATGAAACTCTATCCATTAAACAAGTTTCTCCTCCTGCAGCTCTTATTAACCTCCATTCTTTTTGTCTTCATTGATTTGACCGTTCTAGATCCCTCATATAAATGGAATCATTCACTATTTGTCCTTTTGCATCTGGCTTATTTCACTTAGCACAACGTTTTCAAGGTTGATCCATGTTGTAGCATGTATCAATTTTATTTCTTTTTACAATGGAATAATTTTTCACTGTGTATATATACCACATGCTGTTTATCCACATGTTTATCCACTTGTCAATGAACATTTGGGTTATTTCTACCTTTTGATTACTCTGAATATTGGTATACAAATATCTGTTCTAGTTCCTGCTTTCAATTCTTTTGGGTAGAGATCTAAAAGTGGAATTGCTGGATCATATGATAATTCTATATTTAGTTTTTTTGAGAAATCGTCACACCATTTTTCCAAAGCAGCTATACACTTTTTCATTTCCATCAGCAATGCACAGGGGTTCAAATTCTCCACTTCTTCTCCAGCACTTTAAAAAAAATATGCAATGACCATTCTAATAGGTGTGACTTAACATCCCATTGTGGTTTTGATTTGCATTTTTCTGGTGATTCGTGGTATTGCTTGTTTTCATATGTTTATTGTCCTTTGTGTTTCTTCTTTAGAAATATCTATTCAAGTCCTTTGTCCATTTTTAAATTGAGTTGGTTTTGTTGAGTTGTAGTTCTTTTTTTTTTTTTTTTTTTTGAGATGGAGTCTCACTCAGGCTGGAGTGCAGTGGCATGATCTCAGCTTACTGCAACCTCTGCCTCCTGGGTTTAAGCGATTCTCCTGCCTCAGCCTCCCACATAGCTGGGATTACAGGCATCCACCACCACACCCAGCTACTTTTTGTATTTTTAGTAGAGACAGAGTTTTACTATGTTGGCCAGGATGGTCTTGATCTCCTGACCTCATGATCCACCCGCCTTTGCCTCCCAAAGTGCTGGGATTACAGGAGTGAGCCACCACACCTGTAAATATATAAGGTTGTAGTTCTTTATATATGCTGCATGTTAATCCCTTTTATGATATATGATTTAAAATGTTTCCTGCATTTTGTGGGATGCCTTTTCACTCTGATTGTATTCATTGATGCACAAAATCTTTCAATCTTGATGAAATCCAATGTATCTATTTTTTCTTTTTTAGGCTGTACTTTTAGTGCCATATCTTAAAATCACTGCCAAATTCAATATGACATTTTTCCCCCTATGTGTTCATCTAAGAATTTTATAGTTTTAGCTCTTACATTCAGATCTTTTATCTATTTTGAGTTAATTTTTGTATATTATGTAAAGGGAGGATTCCACTTCATTCTATTGTATTTAAAGTAATAACTTTTAAATAAATATAATCATCTAGCAGTTTAGCCTCTGACATTGAAGGCTTACCCAGGAGAAAAGTCACTGAGGACGTAAGTGTCCAGATGTACCATCATGACAGTGACCCAGAGCAGCCGAGGGGCTGGTCTTCCCATGGCTCCCCCTCATCACTTCCTGAAGCCTGCTGTAGACTGCTGTAAGAGCTGCTCTCTCTCTCTCTCTTTTTTTTTTTAAAACAACTAGAGGCACCTGTTCTTTGAAGTGGGTGTCAGCTGCAGATGTAACACCCATTATCACATGACATCTGTTTTTAGTTAGTGAAAAATGCTGCAATGCTTTACTTATTTGCCTCCCTGCTTAGAAATCCACAAGCTTCAAAATTTCCCACAAGGGATCATTAACTTTTTTGCTCAAATACTTTTTTAAAAAAATATATCAGATGTCTTTTTGGGATTTACATGTACTATTTTGAATCGCCTCTATTTTAAGTGGAAATAAGTAGAATGACATATTTTAAAATAGCATTTTATATGCCATTGTTTCAGACAGAAACATCGAAAATTATTGGCAGCCTCCCAATTATAAAGCCAGATGAATGATCAATTAAAAAACATCCAGCATTTAATAGGGCACATACTATTAAAACAGAACATTACAGGTC